TGCTGTGAGTCGGAATCGACTCAATGCTAGTGAGTGAGGGCATCACTCTGGGTCCTAGGAGACAAAATGGCCGGGCTCTTGGTGCTTACATGTTTAAGGTTAAACAATATTTCTTTTTGTCGAGGTGTGATGTAGTCCTGTTTTCCTTAAGCAAAACAGGAGATCCCAGATCCGTGTTCGAGAACTCAGTGGACTGCATATATGAAGTGAATCCATGTTCCCCAATAGGGGCCATCACCCCAAGTTAAATCACTTACTTTATATGGAGGGAAAATAGTTACAAAATAAATTTTTCAATGATATCATGGTAGAAGAGAATACTGATTCTTATAAAAACTTTTTAAATATGAAGGGCCTTCAAAAAGTTAATGGAGAAATTCCATTGTCTTTTAATTCTATTTTTCAAGAGCCTTTGAATTCCCCTCAAACATACTTAGATTATATAATGAACTAACTAATGGCATTTTGTATATATTTAACTATTATTCTAAACCACAATAGAGGTGGCTCAGAAGATAGGGCTCTCACTCTGCCTTTGAAGTTCTCAGCATTCATGGTTCGATAGAGCAGTTCTACTCAGCCCACGTGGGGTCGCCGGGGATTGGAAATGACCTGATGGGGACTAACAACAACTGGTCTCAGTAGTTTTATAGAAACAACTAATTACTGTGTCCTTAATTTCTGTAGAATCTTTATTACTAATGATTTGCTAATTTGCAACGTATATTAAACTTTCATTAAGATTACTTTTTCTTAGAAGGGATAGTGTCATTTACATACTATTTAAGAAAATTTTTTATTTCTAGTTTGTACAGTAAAAACAAGTAAATTGATAATTATCACTAGATCCAGAAAAGGATTTTTTGTTATATTTTATTAAACATATTAATCATCATGTAGTCAGTGATTAAAGCATGGAGTTTTCTATTTATGAGCCAAATTTATTTTCTATTTATTTTCTATTTATGAGCCAAAAAAGGTTGAAATCTAAAATTATTATTTTGATTTAATTTTCGGTTCGTAATTATGCAGTCAGGTAAGCTTAAAAGCCTCATTGTAAGACTTGTCCTTCTACTATAAATTAAGAATATCCATTCTTTATTGGGATAGCATTCTTTCGATGGTTCCTTCAGAAGACTCAATTTAGAATCCCTGTGTCATAGCAGGGGCTTGGGAAAAGTGTTAGCAACAACCAGCTAATGATAAAACTTAATGACCTGCTATACATCTAGTATGAATTTCGTGTAATAACCAACCGTATCAGTGAGGAGGGGAATACAATGCTTCCATGAAGACATTGCGTAAAGATCGAGTCCTGGAGCCCCTTGACATAAGAACTGTCATCGACAGTACAGGCACCAGGAAACCTCAAGGTTAACCAAAAATTTATCCCACAAAATGTACATAATAACTGTCATTATATGATAGGGATAAGTTACATCTGAATAAAATATTTTTAAATATCAAACGAACAGTTATTAGTCTTTGTAAATGAATATACCATATGTGTATTTGTGATCTAATGTCACAACCCTATCACAAAACTCAATTGGCTGAAATCACAACCATTAATTATTTCCTCTTTGGACCGTTCTTCTATCTGGTCTGGTTGTTATTACCTGGGTTTGCTGAACGGCTGACACACATGTTTTCTCCATGTGTTTTTTCATCCTTCAGAGCAGTGCGTTCTCAACCTTCCAAATGCTGCAACCCTTTAATACAGTTCCTCATGTTGTGGTGACCCCGAACCATAAAATTATTTTTGTTGCTACTTCATCACTGTCATTTTGCTACTGTTATGGATCAAGTGACCCCTGTGAAAGGGTCACTTGACCCTCAAAGGGGTCGCGACCCACAGGTTGAGAAACTCTGCTTTAGAGGTTTCATCCTTTATTCCCATGCAAATGAAGGCATCAGATAACTGGCCCCCCATTGCTCTTATGCAAGCTCTGGTGAAGCTGAAGAAAATCAGAGCAAGTCCCTAAGAGCCAAAATGTGACTTGGAGTATATCCCACCTGAATTTACAGGCCATCTCAGGGACAGACTCATCTAAATCAGCTGAGTTTTGAGAGTACACCCAGGATATCATGCATGAAGAAAGCAAAAGCTCATGCAACAGACAGGAATGGAAAAAGAAAAGACCAGTGTGGATGCCAAGAGAGACTCTGAAAGTGACTTTTGAACATAGAAGAACTAAAGCAAAAGGAAGAAATGAAACAAAAGAGTTGAACAAAACATTTAAAGGGACAATTGGAGAAGACAAAGTGTGTTAGGCTGGGTAGACTAGAGAAATCAATCTGGAGACACGCATATGTATAAAAGAAAGAGCTTTATATCCAAGAACAATTGTATAGTGAGAAAACATTCCATTTTTTAAATTTTATGATTGAACTAATAAACTTGATAGAACTTTGTAAAACTGTGTTTCATAGCTTCTAATCAAACTTGTTATTTATCATTAAAATGTATTTTCTTTCAACTTCTTTATGCTATTCTACAACTGCAAAGAAATCTTTCCTCTTTTAAGTTTTTAATGTTCTAATTATTTAAAGATGTATTACTTCTAAAAATCTGTGTGTCTGGTGTTGAAGATTTAATTCTTTTTCTATTGATAAAGAGCATACAAAACACATCCATCATATTTGAAACATATTTATATTTTCTTGTAAGCGAGTTTGCTCAATGCAGTCTCCTTCATTCATTCTAACTATCGTCAAACAAAATCATTTCTGCAGGCACGCACATGTGCATGCATACACAACTGAAATGTAGGTTCCTGAATACATTATAGAATTCAAGGCAATTTAGGAGATCAGCAGAGCTCTAGTAAATATTTTTGATGTCCCAGGAGATCTCCTACATATCAACCTACCATCACTCCTATTCTTAAAGGATTGATTAAGTATTTTGTTAGAACAGAGTGCTATTCTTCACATAGTGGCTTGATTCATTTGGTTATTTTCATACTATTTATCTGTTTTAAGAACAAGACATGCACCCAGAATTCTTTACATCATGTGTAAGAAGAGCTGCGCACGCCGGAAAAGAAAAAGAAGCATTTCGTTTATTTGATCTCATACATTGAAGGCCCTTCCTAAGCTGTTATCTTAGAAAGCAAACTTCCCTCTTTACTAAGCCATTCAAATTAAAACTTGTTTTAACTAAAGATAGGAAAGAAGAAACAAATATACAGACAGATAACCCCCCCCCACCCCCGCTTGTTTGAAGTACATTTATCTTTTTTAAGTAACATACCCTTTAGGGCACTTGTATATTTGTCTACAAGTGGCATATAACACCGAAGATTCAGAAAATACCACATACACACATAGACACAGTGAGAGAGGAGCTTTGGTGGCATTGAGGGCTATGCACTGAGTGGCTAACCACAAGGTTGGTAGTTTGAACCCATCAGACACACCAAGGGAAAAAGATGAAGGCATAAAATTTTATCTTTTCCGAAACTGAAAATGGGCCGTTCTACTCTATCCTATAGGGTCCTGTGTGTCTGATGTGACAGGAGTGCAGCGATTTTTCTTCTTTTTCCTCTTTGGGGAACAGAGAGAGCTAGCAGCCTCCGTGCTACAATTTTAGCTGTAGATACAAACGTACCGGTCAGCAAAAAGCACAATCCATGCTCCTTTAGCACATCTTACTGCTCAGTTGTGACAATGTAGGAATGGGAAGGTCAAGGCGTCAAAAAATGTGCAAGCAAGATCAGTTATGAAAGTTTCCTCGTCTGGGGCTGGTCTCCATTCTGGTGGGCACAAAATTATTTCTTGAATGATTTTAGCAACAGTCGGGTCCTAGTAACATACAACACAGAGGATATCAGAAACACACACACACACACACACACACACACGCATGCACATGCACACACACACACACACACACACGCACAAATGTAAAATGAATGAGCTGGAATGACCTCTTCTCTGAGGCCCAACAGAAGTTAGCTGGCTGGGTCAAATAATCAAAATCAGATTGGCAACAGTTCAGTTCATGGGAGGTGTCAGGGATACAAAACAAAAGAGGATCCATTTAAGAACCAGCTTACTACAGACTGCTACAAGAGAAAACACACACACACACACACACACTCAAAAATAAACACGCAGAAGCAGTCAGGGAAACTCAAGAAGGTTGAGCCTGGGTTCCAGAGGTCATGTTCTGGGACTTTTGGGACAAGACGGGGCTTTAATGGATAAATTCTCAGTGGAACCTGCAGCAGTAAAAGAAAAATTCAGAAACAAGGGTATTGATAAGGATATATATATTAAGAATTTCAAGGGAAATAGAATTTGAACTTTAGGGAGATTTGGGGATAAAACTAGCCACTATATTAAAAATGCAACAGGTGTGCACAGAACAAATCACACACAGGGTTACTAAGGTTACAGACAGTCTGCTCAGGAGTTTTCTCCCATGTCTGTCCTCACTGCACAGAATATTAATCCACATCACTGTTACAGGGCTTTCCAGAGTTTATGGAATGATTCTTAGCTTCTGCTAAGTGTCTATGAACATACCACTGCACTTTAATTCCAATCGATGGAAGGTATTTGGAAATAAAAATTACTTTTTGAATAGTGTTTCATAAGCAGATATCAGTGCCATATATTTTTGAAATAATATTTAGTTTGTGAAAGTTTCTTTGACAGGAGAATTACATTGAATAAACTTGCTCTACCTTTCACATAAAAAATAATTTTTTTCATCAGATTCTCTCTTTTGAGTAATTGTTGATGAAATTTGACAAAGTCATTTCCTTATTGGTTTCTATAGATAAGGGTTAATTTGATACCCACTATTGGTGGTGAAATATTCAGTCTTAGAGGAACCTTATTAGCATATCAGGATGGTATCTTCCTTGAACTCTGTATTTATTATGTTTCCTATTTTAAAATATCCATCATTGAAATGAATTTAAGACTTCTTATAGAGGTGTTTGTTTTCCTGTTTGCTTATTATAAAAGAGTGTATATTTTATTTCTAGGACAAAAGTTATTTTAAGTAAAAGTGGAAAAAGCGACAGTAAAGTTAAAAGAATTGGACCACATATCGAAATCTTCCAAGTATTCAGAGAAAGGAACCAATTCTTGAACACCAAAAAAATTGTTAGAATGATCATCGTCTTGCAGGCCTATGTTAGGGGGTGGCTGGAACGCAGAAGGTTACAAAGAATCATGATCAAGGTAAGGAATGTGCTCAATGTCTTACTGTGTTAGAATTTCTTCCGTAGACTCAATTAAGCAGATTTCAAATGGTTATATAATTACTATATGTATTTCTCTAAGTAAAGTCTATCTACATTTTTAAAGTTTTGAATTACTGGCTTTGTTTTCAATACCAGATTGTACCAAACTACAAACTTTGAAATTACATAAGCCGGGTTTATCCTTAACTCAGCAATGTGGGGGCACTTACTAATAGCCATGAAGGTGCTATCAGGTTGTTCTCCATTTAAAGCACCTTTTCTACACTTCCATGCAGTTCACTTCTCTTACTAAACACACATCCGCTATCTACTTGAGCGAAACCATGGAACACATTCTAAATCAGTAGTTCTAAACCTTCAATACAGTAACCTTTTAAGACAGCTCCTCATGTTGTGGTGACCCCCAAAACCACAAACTTATTTGCATTGCTATTTCATAACCATAATTTTGCTACTGTTATGAATCAGGGGACCCCTGTGAAAGGGCGTTCAGCCCCCAAAGAGGTCGTGACACACAGGTTGAGAACCGCTGTTCTAAATCATATGCCTGGGTAAACTGTGCCCCAAAGGTTCCTAGGCTTCAATCTTTAATGAACAGAGCTCTAGGCTTTTTTCCCAGCAGCATTGTTCAACCAGGACTCCCTACCCACTGCCACCAAGGTTTCTGAGACTAAATAATTTGGAGCAGACAGTTTAAACTTGCTTTCTTCCTCAGAGTGGCTGACAGGTGGGGTTGAATAGCTGACCTTGTAGTTAGAGGTGATCCACTGTACGACCAGGTCTCACAGGTTCCGTGCCTTGTTAGGCGCCATTGAGTTCGTTCTGACCCATAGTGACCTTAGGCACCATCCTCATATATTCCCATGTTTGAACCATTGTTGGGGCCACACTGTCAGTCCATCTTGTTGAGGGCCTTCATCTTTTCCCCTGACCATCTAAGAAACACGATGTTCTTCTCCAGGGACCGATCTCTCAATTATCCTTATTTTCAATATAATTCATAAAGACCCCTTTATTTAGGTATAGGAGCTATATATATATATTTATTTATTTATATGTACATATACATATATACATAAGCATATTATACATATACACATTTGCTGGAGAAATGGGGAAGCATTTGAATGGCTAAATCTTTGAAAATCTTAACTTTATGTAAAAGTTTTACTATGAATCAGGGATTTGGGAAACCAACGATACATAGTTGGCACACCTGTCTAAGCCAATTCTTAGGAGAAATAGCTTTGCAGTGCACCCCCCAAGCACATCTCTCTTATGCTGTTAGAAGGCGAGCCTGTAGCTGACACCAAGGGTAAGATTTATGCAGTAGGCAAGGGGAGAGAAGATGGATCAAAAAATACCTTGTAAGGATAGCTCCTATTTAAAGGAATAGTTGTATGGATAAGTTTCTAACTTATCAGAAACTAAGATGAGCTAACATGTCTTTTTCTTGTCATGGTAATTTCTTTTTAATTTCATATTTTCCAAAAGGAAGCCGGGGGATATTTCAAGAGAGCTTCTCCTATTGGGAAATTTATTAGCAGAAGTTTATTTTCTAGTTTAGGATTGAAGGAGGGCATTTTATAATTGTAGAGGATCTTTCCATTGCAGGTGATATACCAATCAGAATATACACTTGCTGTATTAGCCTGGGTACTTTAGAGAAACAAATCCATAGACACTCATGTATAAGAGAGAGTTTTATATAAAGGTTAAGTGCCCATCAAGAAAACATCCCAATCCAGTTCTGCCCAAACCCACAAGTCCACCATTAACCCGTATGTCCGACACCAACCCACAAAGTCCTCCTCCATCTCACAAAACAGACTCAATGATGCCGACTGCAGGAGGAAAGCTGAGTCAGTGAACAAATAGCAGGGGTCTCCACACAACTGCTCCAGCACCCAGGGCTGTATCGGGATAGGCCCATGTGGCTTCTCCTTGGGGATGTCTTGCAGGAAGTCAGCCTTGCAAGCTGAAGCAGGGAACTGCTAAGGCAGCTGCACCCTGGTCTGACCATCAAAAAGCAAGAGACCTGAGAACTAGAAAGGAGAGTCTCACCGACCAATTTATCTCTCTGCCCTTCAATTAATCCCACATGTGTTTACAGCCAGGTTGGCACAATAAATTAACTACCTCACTTGCTCATTTATAAAAAATCAAGATAAAAAATAATTAGATGACCTGGATATTTTTATCATCGCCATCATCAAATATATCATTATTATCATATCTTTATCATGCACCCACAAATGTTAAATCTTTAAAAATCTGAGAAAATCATGGTTCCTGCCTATTTCTGATTTTCAAAAGATCTTGCTCATGTGCAATCTTAACTTACTGCAAAGGTTTTATATTTGAAAATTAAGGTTTAAATCTATGGCTCGTGTGCTCACTGAAGGTAATTATCTCCTTTTAAGTGCGTAGAAAGATGCACAGACAATCCACTCTGTAAGTAACTTTACTTCTCCCCACTCTCCTTGGGAGACAAGAGGACAGACAGGTGAGAATGTTTCCAGGATTTCTTGATGAAGGATTTCTGAATTTCAAGTCGCAAAGCTAGATAATTCCGCTACAGTTTTCTCTCTAATACTGTGTTTCCTTTTGCTTAGGAGTCTTGTCCCTCTTGCTAAGAATTTTTGCTAAGAATTTCCTGTGACGCTAAGGTTGGTTTTAGGCATTTATTGGATATGCTGTCAGTCTTTTTCTGGTTCTTTATAAGACATTTACACCACTTGTAGAATTGTGTTGTTGTTTGTAGGTGCTATTGTTACATCAGCTCTGCTTCAAGAGTGATCCTGTGTTCAACAGAATCAATGCTGGTTGATCTCAGCACCATGCTCACAGTTTGTATGTTACAACTCATTTTTGGTTACCACCGGTTCTATTGAATGGAAGGCCTTCCTCTTCTTCCCTGACTTTCTATTTTACTAAAAATGATATCCTATTCCAGGCACTGGAAATACCGAAATTATACCAGTAATCTGTCATAAGTGCCACCTTTAATAACAAGGGGAATACATTTTTTCCCTGAAAATTTGGAAGATCTGACATAAGGCAATCTTGATATACAGAGTAAGGTAAGAAGGATGGCTAATTTGAGTCCTTCATATTTTTAAAAATCTTGTCTGACAATTAAGTATACTGTATCTTAATGAATAATTTTCCACAGAATGAAAGACTCAATTGCTATTGAGTTGATTTTGATTCACAGTGGCCCTATATAGGGTTTCCGGTGCTATAAATCTTTATAGGAGCAGATACCTTCTCTTTCTTTTGTCAAATGCTTGACTTCTTCCATTTGTGGGTTTGAACTATGTTAGCAGCCAAGTGCTTAAACCACTGTGCTACTAGATTGTCTTTCCCATAGAATAGAAGGTGAGATAAAGACTGTTGGAGACATTTTTATAGAAAGTGTTCACACCGATAGGCATGAGACACTGAAAAAGGGAAGGCCAGGGGGAAGTTCATAGAAATTGTTGAGGAATCAACCTCTATGAGGAGAAGAACTGGTTGCACCTCTGCTGCTTGCTATTAACATCAGCTAAGAAATTGTGAGTATATGTGGATAGACAGACTTGTACATTATTCTGGCAATCCAGATTTCATTCAAATACTCTTTTCTAACATCATAATTCAAAAGCATTAATTCTTCGGTCTTCCTTATTCATTGCCAACCTTCACATGCTTATGAGGTGATTGAAAATGCCATGTCTTGGGCTAGGTGTACATTAGATCTCAAAGAGATATCTTTGTTTTTATAGTTCTATAAAGAGGACTTCTATGGAAACTTTCTGAATGCAGTAATGCCCTTTGATTTCTTGACGTCTTGCTTCTGTGCGCATTGATTGTGAATCAACTTCAATCTTTTCTCCATTTATCACCGTGTTGCTTATTTGTCCATTTATGAGAATGTTGGTTTTCTTTATGGTGAGAAGTAATTTATACTGAAGACCAAGGACTAATGTATTGGAAATACCCTTTTTAACAACATAAACAGTGAAGATAGTTGTGTACATCATCAGATGGAATGCACAAGACTGAAGCTGACTGAATGTTTGTGAGATGATGGAGAAACTCAAAGTCATAATGGAGAACAAAGCCAGGCCCTACCGAGGAAGAAAGCACCAATTGTCCTCACAAGTTCAAGTTGAATAGCAAGAAAACATTTTAAAGTTAGAAGAGCCAAAGTATGGTCCTGACTATATTCTATGTAAATTTAGACATCTTTTCAGAAATATATTTGATGCAGGGACACCATGTTGTAATATCAAATCAGTGGTTCTCCATATGGCTTCCACGAGATCAAATAGCCGCTAAACAGAATCCCAAGTGTATCTTCATTGAGTTGATTCTGTCCCTAGTGACCGTGCAGGACAAAGGAAAACTGTTCCTTTGGCTCTTTGCTTTTGCATCCCAAATCAATAAAAATAAGTCCAAAGTCATGAGGCTTAATTTAAAATGCTTTGTAAATGCATATTGTGAATATCTTACCAGCTTCTGATTAGTTTTAGGGAGAAAATAAGAACTGTCATAGTGATTTATATGAAACCTTATGTTTTATAATACTTATTTTTTTAAAAAAAATCTACCTAACTAGTAATTCTCATTTTTTAAAAGTAACTGTCTTCATTTTTAGGAATCAGTATGCTTCTGTTCCTATAGTCCTAAGTAAAGAGTATGTTTAGTCTAGTCCATTAAATCAAATTTATAAACAACAACAAAAAGAAAGAATCCCCAGCTCCCCCCAACCAGTCGTCTTATCCCTCACAGTGACATCAGGGGATGATGTTTGAAGCTATCAACAACACTCTGGTGGCCAGTCTGTCACTCTCGCAGTCTCCAGGTCTTGCATGAGTGAGTTCCTACTCCTTACTTTCCTGAATCCTATTGCCCTTCTTAAACTTTCAGTATTATTTGCTACAACCTTCTCAGGAGTACTAGGCTCCTTTAAGATTGAAATAATTAAAAAAA